AGCAGGAAAAAGAACAATTCAAAAAGCATGAGTATGTGTTTTTTAAGACAGAGACCATGAATAAAATGCCCAGCTGCACTTCATGGCAACTGTTAAGCCTACTGAGTACTGTTTTCAGTGGTGAATATTCAACTTCTGTGTGTAGTTTATCATACCTGTGCAAGAGGCCACTCTGTGAGGAAAGGAAGGTCTTGCCTCTTGATCTCGGTGATCTTATCAGTGAAAGAACTTTTCAGGGTTCCCTTTGATTCTCACAAGCTTAAAGGCCAGCAGAAGTGCCAGTGCCTTGCTGGATCAAGACCTGATATGGGATTAGCCATGAAACTAGCAGACATCTTCGTCACAACTTCTGGATGTACTTTGGTGTATGCAGTGAAGGGGTTTCTGTTGATGCTATGCTGGATAGTGGGAAAACCCTCCCAGTTAACATACATGATTGCAGATCATGTCAATCACTTGTGGAGATGGGAGGCTTGGGAATAGATGCTCTCTGAAAAGTGCTTGTTTGGTGCCTGGTAAGACAGCTCCCTAAAGAACTACACAGAGCTGAACTGCATGATGGACTACGGCAGAAGGCCATCTTTGCTTTCCCAAAGTATTCCAAACTTTGTATTTTCTGCATGCTACCAACAATATTTTTGACAACTATGTAATTATCACGAGTAGTGCTTAAACTTGCCTGTTATCAGTCCTGATTCTTAGTGCTATCAGAGATTACTGTCTTTGGCATCACTTTAAAGCAATCAGAATATGTACCTATGCATCTGGAGGAGACCAAAATAATCGCATGTGCAGATAGGCTTCTGCTTCACACTGCTGGCAGCGCGGCTGCACTGAGCAAAAGAAAAGTTAAAAAGGAGGAATCTCGGAGCAAGTTTTGGTTTTCAGTGCAAAACCTAAGGTTGTCTGGGACTTTATTGTTTTTGAAAGATTGGGTTTTACATGAGGGAAAGGTTCAACTTTCCACTCAGAGCTTCACCTATGACCTGACATGTTTTGACCAAAAAAAATCCATTAGACTCCTTTTGGAGCTGGAGAGAGTTGTCATTTGTGTTTTATGTCCCATTCTCATGTTTAGTTCAGGCTCACAGACAATTCTCCCAAGCTCTGCCTGTTGATGCAGTATTAAAGACACGTTGTGCTAGGTAGGAAGCAGAGGATGGGATGCAGTGTGACCTCTGGGTCACCTGGGGGAATGGGAACCAAAACTCCCAAAAGACTCCACAATGGCAAACTCTCTCAGTCAGAATGTTTGGGTAATTTTTTCAATTTTAAGTCCAAAGAGGTTGAAAGTCTTCATGGGTTTAAAGCCCATTTTTGTTTAATTCTGTGCTGCAGCCATAACAAAAGACTTAAATTATATAGATATCAAGAGCCCTGGTGAAAGTGGTGTTCAATGGTGCTGGCCACATCACATTCGGTATGGCAGGCGACAGACATTTCTGGGCTGGTATTTCTTTTTGTTTGCCCTGAGCAGTACAAGTACAGATTTTTCCTGTTCCTGCCCTGTGGGATGAATCGAAGGTGTGATCCTGACTGCTCCTGCAAAAGGCAGAAGCTCGGTACTTAGTTGTGGGCCCAACAGAACCTGTTTCCAGCCCTGTAGCAAACTGGTTTTGCCCCCTCCGTCTGCCAGTGCTCACGCTGCTGATCTGTTGTCCAGGCTGTGGCTGCACAGACAGGGATGGCAGCCGCAGGCAGGCAGAGGAGGCAGGAGGGAAAGCAAAGGGATCAAAACGTCTTCATACCCTAGGGAAACTGCCCTCATCACAACTGCCTGTTGGTAAGCCTGGTTAGCCCAGGAGGAGAGCTACTGTTTGTATCATCTACTCCAAGCAGAGATACCTGGAGGGCAGAGGGAGGGGAAGAGTACTCTTCTTGCACAGTGCCAGCTGCATTGCTAGTCACGCTTGCCTAACTGATTCTGAGCTGCATGGAAACACACAGGAGAGTGCCTGTCTTCACAAGCAGAGGGTAAGGTGTGTAGGATATTGATGGCAGATAGGCAGGAAAAAAAGAGGCAGGGTATTAGCCAATTGTCTGCTTTGTTGTGTGCCCTTCTGCTTCCATTTTTGCATGCTTCATATTTTTCATAGCTTTAATCAGCTGCATAAAGGTGGTAGAATTGGGTAGAGCAACCATAGAACAGCCAATAGAGGACACTGATCAGATGTGTTCAGGAAGGGTCGTCCTGCCAGCGACTGCAGAGAGCACTTGGCCAGCAGTAAGATGAGCTTATTGAATGCTGATGTTTCCCTGGAAATTCTGCAGGACAAAATCACTTTGAGGCTAAAAAGCACGGAAGGCATTTTTCAATCATCTGCCAAGCTTTCAAAAAGTGAACACACACAGAACAGCAATATCTATGAGGAACATAGTAGGGAAGCAGCTCTGATTGCAAATGTCCCCTCTACCAGTGTTTTAGATGTCAGATAGTATCCGAGATACTTGCATGAGGTTGGCAATATGGCATGGGACCCACCGGGGAGCACTTCCTTCTCAGGTGGCAGCTGGAGCCCGAGGATGTCTCAAATAGCACCAGACACCTCTGTTTTGGCAACCTGAAATTCTCCTGTTTTAACAGAGGGCTTGGGAATAGGAGGGTCTGGTATTTTGCTGCACGACTTTTGGTGTGCATTGTTCTCACTGGTGTTTTGGGGGTGATCTTGCAATTGTGCCCTTCTAGACTCAGCTTGGTTGATTAGTGCCAAAGCACCCATTCTGTGTGGAGTCACCCACACCCCTTCACGTCTGGTCCGTTCCACATGGGAGCTGTGCCCATCTATGTGAGGAAAGAGCTGCCCGGGAAACTCTGAGGCCCTGATGCCACCCACAGGAGACAAGTCTCAGCTTGATGAGGAAAGGCTGGGGTAGTTGTGCAGGAGGAATGACAGAATATTACGGGTTTTTCTGAACAGTTAGAGCCCAGAAGGCACACACTTGCTTGATGATTCTAATGTCCAGAGCATTTTTGCAGGGAATAGTTTGACTGCAGCAGAGTTAACTATTTGGTACAGTTTAAAATGTTATCTCAGGGTACTGGCCAAAGCCCAGGAAGTATACATGTGTTTATTTGGACATCCTGCTATGACATTCCTTCTCCCATGGAGCAGAACAGGGTGATGGTGCACAGCAACGTAGCTCTTCATTTGGGGCAATAACTAGAATCAGTGTTGGGCAGGGTTAAAGCCAATTAGTTTATTTAGGACTGTCAGTGTTACAATGACCTGTTTTGCAAGGTGTCTGGGACAGTGGAGTGGCAGAAATGGTTCTTTCACTTCTACTGACCTTGAGCCAAAAGGCCTTTTGTTGCTAAATCAAAACACTTTCTGTGATAGTGTTTGTACAGGGGAAACTGTCCCTTAGATTCTCAAATGTAAAAATCTTAAACCCTTCCAAAACTAATGCTCAGAAAAAGCTCTGGTGTTTTAAAAGATGTTACTTGTTCTTTGGGCACTCATCATGAGCTGTGGCTCATCAGCCAGCCCTTTTGCCAGCTAATGGTTGGAACCACTCTGTCCTTCATTTTGGCACATGCAACTTGAGAGAAGGATATGGGGACACACCACCTAGAAAAGTAGCCCTTGTTTTTTTCAGGCCTCTGTTTTGCAGCTATCCAGTCTGCTCTGGTCTTGCATGAGAACGAAGTAGATGAACCCTGGAGCCAGCTGTTCACCATGTTCAGCGCTGGGAGAGGCTGCAGCTAATCTCCTCTCTTTCTCCAGCTGTGACAATGAGATAACTTATTTATTTTAAAATTTCTGACCATGAAAATCAAACACTGTGCCAGCTCGTTCTCTGGGTGACCGGGGGCGAGATGCTAGTAATTCGTAGCAAATGTATAACTCTAGTTCTACTAAAATTCTAGGCTTGTGATGCTACTTTACAGATAATATTCAGAAATCTACCCAAACAGAAGACATAAAAGTAAAGTGCCCTCCTTTATGTGTAATACATTTGAAAAACTTTGACAATTCTTGGTCCTTAATAGGTGTAAATTATCTCACACTACAGCAAGGAGTTGATGTAATCTTACTTATTTAACCAATTAGTTTCTAAA